TATAAAACTGAAATGAAGATTCAATTTCAGCCTATCAAAAGTTCACCCAAATATACCCATCCATCACAACCTCGTGATGGACCAAGTTTAAGTCCCCATATTGTAACCCCATTTTCATCCCTCAAAACTCCATGGAAAATGATGAAATTACTTGGATTTTAAAGCTTAACAAACCTAGTTCCTAATCTAATAAGAGTTTCTCAAAACGGATTTAAGAGAAGAAAATAATCAAGCTCCAAAGTTTAGTTCACAAACAGTTTTTTTTTTGCAGAAAATCTTCTGATTTCCAGATTCTTTTCACATTTTCAAATCATATTTTTCCATAGAAGATCTTAACCAAAATCGGTGAAATAAATTGGACTTTGTTCCTTGCCATGTGTAATTTCAAATATACATGAAGACTTTTTAAAAAGGTGTAATGGATTGAGAGAAAATAAGAGCCAAAGTGAGGCTCACAAACTGCAGTTTTGTAGAAATCAAAGTTACAATGGTAAGAAAATAGGAAACTAACTAATTTGAGCTAAGCTTTTGTACCAATTGAAGAACACACCAGGCACACTCTCTACTCCCCTCTTTCCGTTTCCTACTTTTCCCTCTCCAAAACCTCTCGCTCTCCTCTAGTTTTTCTGTGAGAGTTAAAAATACTCTCTAACCCCATCATTACATCTCTGTTATAGAATGCTTACTCACCCCTCTAGACTACCCACATCACCCCAAAATTTATGAACAAAATCAGATTCTCTTGGTTCCCCACCGTGTGATGGTTGGGAAGAAGAGGAAAAGTTTGGGATGTCTACACGTATAGCTCATCCTTTGTCTGTTTTTCTTTTTCTTATTTAATATTTAAAAGCTGAAATAACATTACTCCTATACTTTACATATATTTATAGATTTTTTTTTCCCAAGTGTTACAGAATACTACATCACAGCCACCCAAAGGCAATGAATAGAGGTCCACATGATAGTTATAGCCTCCAAGAGAAAAAACAGCACATTTCCAACAGCCCGAGCTCGTAACCCTTCCATCATCTGTTATCATACCCTCAAAAGCTTGGTGGAATAAGCTTGATGACCCCAATATCTCAACAACTTGGAATCAATGAAGTTATGAGAGTTGCCAGAGTCTAATAAGATGTTAATCGATTGCCCATTAACAATACCAATAACCTTCATAGTTCAAGAAGTTTGTCTACCATTAGTGCCATAAAAGGCACATTCACTAAGCTCCATATTGAGCAACTCAGGAACTGGTTCATCACAATACTCCTCTACAAGTTCAGCCTTCATCGTATCTAACATAAACAGCTGTTTAAGTCCACACTTATGGCCCTTAACCCATTTATCTGAACAAAACCAACATTCTCTCCTCTCCCTTTTCTATTGAATTTTTATAGACAAATTGTGGTTGAGGGTACAGTGTGGAAATTGGAAATTGCAGTGTGTGGTTTAGCAGAGATATAAGGCTTAGTAGTCACAAGTTTCAATTTAGAGATCTTAGTATCCAACTGAATAGCAATTGCAATAGCATCATGAACATTTGCAAGTTTAAGAAGCTTAATATCATATTTCAACTCACGCTTAAGTCCACCCAAGAAGCAATTCTTGAGTAAGATCCGGCCCAAATCAGTGGTTCAATTAGCTAACCTCCTGAATTCAGTAATGTAGTCACGTAATGAACCTGTTTGGTGAAGCTTAAACAAGTGACTTAGCACTATCATCAAACTCGGATGACCCAAACTCCCTGCAAAATGCTTTTGTGAATTCTACCCATTGTGGAGTGGAATTGAGGCAATCCGTCCACTTAAATCAACGGAGAGCTTCACCATCAAGATGAAAAGAAGCAATCAAGTCTCTATTTTCTCAAGGGTGTTGTAAAAGGAGAAAAAATGGTATACCTTATAGATCCACACCAAAGAATCGTCCCCATCCATGAAATAAGAGAAATCCATCCTGGGTGCCCAAGGTTAACGAGGGGGTTGACCATCATCGGTCCAGTTTGGGCTTTGAGGTAGCTAGATGTGGTCCATATCATGTGGATGAGGATGATCGGCAACATTCGGAGCGAAGAAGCCCTCACCTTCGCCGTGAAATGCTAATTCCTAATGAAACTTTTCAAAGTACATCGAAAGGTGATTATCGAGGTGTCTAGGGAGCTGAGCATCAAGGACAGTGGCAACAGGCAAGTTCACTGACGAGTTCACCATTTTAGCAATGAGGGTGGAGATGTTAGCAAAGGAAGCCTCCAAGGTGAAGATGTGAGCATCCATAATGGTGGCACGAGTAGCAACGGGACGACAAGGCATGCATGGAAGGGAACCAGGATCGATGGGTGATACCAATGTTAGTAACCTAGATTATGGGTTTGACTTTAACCTACAACAATGAGGGAATATGGAGATGAAGGGGAAACACAATTGAATTGAGTAAATATCTTAATTTCCCACATATGACCGTTGCTCCACTAAAGGGAGAATATAACCAACTGTTCGGCCCAAAATGAAAACTTGCGCTAAAAGTAACAAAATGGGCTGAGACTCTTGCTCCAACGGTCTTCTTAGGGTATTATAGGGCGGCTAGGTTCCGGGAGTTGTCTAGTCGGTTTTTCGATCGAGTCCTTTTGCCAGAAAGATTGATTCGGATAAGGGCAAAGTTTGAATCCTTGTACCACCAGGGGTGTTAAAAGCTGAAGACACCGAGAATCAGGGAATGAATCTGGTTCATTATGAAGGTGGGTTCAAAGTCCCAATTGAATTAGGATTACCCGAGTCCTAGTTAGATCAGGATAAAGAGTCCGAGTCCGGGTATGGTTCTAACTCAGCCAGGAACAAGTTCACTACTATAAATAGAAGAGGGATCTAACCATTCAGGCCCCTCCAATTCAACACACAAACTGCCCTGCGCAAACTCTCGCTTTACGCGAAACCTCTCAACAACCTTGAGATTTTTATTTTCTTTTCCGCCAACATATCTTCAGTTTGGATAAACAGCATTGTGACAGCAACCTGTGACATCTTCAGTTTGGATAAACAACACTATTGTCATAGAATCAGCCGACCCCAGAGCACCTTTAATTTGGATAAACAGCACTGCGTCGAAGCCGACTAGTTATCTATCCAAGTCTCAACCAAGAAGGATCTTCGAGTTCTTGTTGGCAAAGGTCATCTCATTAGCCTTTTCGGTGAAGTGAGGTGTTACAGAATACCGAGCTCAACACATTGAACGCCGAGTTATTTTATGATTGGATACTCATAAGTAAGTTTTAAAGTTCGGCATTCTGACAGCCGAACCACGTTTACCATCAAGACATACATCTCTTTTGAGTACTTGTGTCCATATAGTTTGGTACTGGTTCGGCGTGCTTATACTCTTACGAATACAATCACCGTGACCGCACCCGATGTCGACAATCCGTGAACTTCGCAAGACTAGTAACCTTGTCTTCAGGCTCTAGAACCCGAAGGCCGAGACATTTTCCTTCTTCGGCCACAATTGCAAGATCAAGAAGTCAGCAGCATGCTCAATGCAACATCAACACATTTTACTCCTCGGCCGAGCTCAGCCGACGAGTTGGCACGCTCTACATCAATCGAAGGACGTAGTTAGCTTAGTAATTACTCGGCCTGCGCGTCACATAGGCTTGGTAGTTTTTAGGGTCAACACCAACACTAAAGGCCTCACCGAGTGTGTGAATGCCAACTCAGCACAAAATACAAAAGTTCATTAAATAACCTCACCACAATTTCTCTTATTATAAAAAGACCCCAAAATTCCCTTACAATAACCTATTCATTACAATTTCATCCCATTACTTGTGATCAAGGCAATCACAACAATAGGATCATAACAACCTCATCCCCGCTCCCACCCTTCTTTCCTTTGCGCCCACCCAACCTTCTATATTCGACCCACCTCCACCCTCTTCACCTCCCTTCCCCAGCCCAACCCCCCCCCCCCCTTTCACCTCCACCCTTTGCAAAAATACTAATCCCCAAATCTGATGAACATAAATTCGAATTTTGATCCGGAGCATCTATGGTTCGTGAGCCATTAAAGTAGAGAGAAGCACCAAAGCAAGGGAGCCACCACGTGCACTGCCGAAATCTGGTGGGGTGGCGGCATGGGCTACAAATGCTTAGGAATCGATTAGGGTTTGGGGAATTTATCCAAATTAGGGATTTAGGTCAACTGGATTTTTGATAAATTTCAAAAATTGGAAGGGTTTCTTGTTGAATTTGAATTCTTTTAGGTGGGATTTTGTTGGGGTTGGGTGTGCGGGAGGGTGGGTATGGGTTGTAGAGGAGAGGGGAGGGTGATGCGGGTTGCAAAAGGAAGGGAGGGTGGGGGGGGGGGGGGGGGAGGGAGGTAGGAGACGGGTGGGTTAAATTATTATTATTATTTTTAGTTTTTATTTTTTATTTTTTTTAATATTCAAGTGGAGCCACATTGACACGTAGCGTCCAGTCATTGTTCACGTGGGCGCCACGTAATCAATTAACGAAGGTTCTAATGAAAAACTTAACGGATGTTTGAAAGTGTTCCGGAATTAGAAAAAAAACTTCATGTACCAAATATTGAGAACCAAGAAATTTCAAGGTAGTAAACTAAGATTAACCTTATTTTATTTATCAAACAAAATATATGCTCCAACTTTTTTAAGAAGTTACTTTTGAAAATATTTAAGTAATCCCAAACCAGTTTGATATGAGATTTTTATGTGAGGCACGAGGCTGCTTTGTAGCTTGTACAAACCCGTCATTTTATATGTTAAGTGGAAGCACTATTGGTTTGTTTTAAAGTTTGTAGAGGTTCACACAACTGCACTGTTTGTAGAGGATAACACGATCTATATGTTTTATAGCTAATTTCTTGTTATGTTTTTCTACTGATATTTTCACCCATATCAATATCACTCCTTTTGGACTAACTGATGCTTAAATGATGCTTTAATCCATGCATCTAACTGATGCTTAAATGACGTAGAATTTGACTGGTTGCTTAAATGACGTAGAAAAAAGTGCCTCACCATATAGAATTCCTTACAAGTTGTTGGAAATACAAAAGAAGAGGTCGTCTCCGGATCTTTTATTTTACAACACAAGATTTGATTGTGAACAAATACCAGCAAATCTTGAATCTATGGGGGAATTTCCCGTTACGAATATATCGTATCGCAAGATGAACATTACAACATAATTATATGCAAACGCGCATAATGCAGCTTCTCCAGATTACGCTTTGCGTTTCACTTCTTACCCCGTTGATCAATTCACCACGCTCCTTGATGTCATATCAGTATAACGCAAATATTCATTGCCATTGTAATGAATCTAGAGCTTGCTGGTGAATCTGCTTATCTCCAGCTGCCACTACATTATAACCTAGGGAACACACCAAATACCATTATCCATTCAGCTCTAAGAACGTATATAAATAAATAAATAAATAAAATGAGGCCGCCGAAATAAGGCGGCCTATATAAAGAGAGCTGGTGACGCATTATTAGAAGTTAGCATACTTGTTGCCTTTGAATTTGGAGAAGCATCCCAATAAAGCTGATGTCCCTTCCAATCAGTTATGACTCCGCCAGCACCTTCTATCACAGGTATCAGTGAAAGAAAATCGTATGGCTGACAAAATAGTTGAGATTGTTGTTAGGTAAAAGCAATGAAGTATATCTAACACAATAACATCTTTCACGGATGATGAGAAATCTAACAAGACTAATGCATGGTTGCAGATTTAGACAGCTCAATGTAACCAAAAGGCGTTGAAGTGCAGAAAAGAAAGGTGCAGATATCACAAAGGTTAGATACACATCAGAAGAAACTAACAGTCCCTTCTGCTGTACATTATCACATTAATTCAACCAGAGTTCAATAGAATAGCTACCACTCACGTCATCCACCAGGCATCGCCTTTTCGTGGCCAAGAGTGTATCACTTGATAATTAGTCATATAAACAGTTTAACAACAAAAAGTTCAGCTTACCTTGAGACCAGACTCAACAACGAGATCCACAAAACCAGAAGCCAGCAGAGCATAAGCATAGCAGTCGCAGCCGTATAATGGCACTTTCACCTGCAGACCAGATATGAAACACTTGAATCATTTTATTTCTCTTTTTTATAAGAAACACAAATTTTAAAATATTTAAGATGAAAACACCAGCTGGCAAAAAATGTAAAAATGGATGAGACACCTAGGAGTCAAATTTTCACATTAAATTTCCTCATGTTGAGTTAAATACTAGGAAATTCGGCTTAAAAATCAATTCCAGTGAAATAATGTGCTCCCAATGTTGCTCGGGATTGAGTGACAATGAAAAACCCTCTCAAATTACCCCAAAAAGCATAGTAACACCACAAAAAGTAAAAGATACTGACAAAGAAAGCCCAAAATAAGCACTGTCCAACTTTGCGCTCCATTTTTTTTTCCCTTTCAGGTAATTTTTATTAACCGAGTCTGAAACCTAACGTTTCTTGTATACTTATAAGTGAATCCACATAATATGTGACAGTATTCTTCCATCACCTAGTTTTAAAACTCTACTTTTTTATGAACAAACCTTATTTCTAACATGAATAAATGCCTCTTCTGCCTCTGCGCTGAATAGATGTGGGCTTGTAGTGTACCTAATCATGGGAACACGTAAAGTTATATAAAAAAAAAAAATCTCAAAACAAAACTGAATGAGAAAAGGAAAATTATACATCCCTGGTTCACAGGAATTGGATGCCATAAAGGTCTAGATACCTTTTAGACATGGTTTACTTTTTAAGCAACAATCATTTTGGCTATGCAATGGATACTCAAAGGAAAAAGGAAGAACCTACAAATAAGCCTGTGCCAGATTTGCACAAGTACGTGTGGACACTACTTGGCCATTCAATGTAGTTTTCCTCCCACTAATCCCAACCCATCTTTCTCTTAAAACAGGCTGATCAATTATGCCAAGAATCTGGAAGGAAAAGAGTATAAGTTCAATAAGAGAGTATACTATATTAACTTTTAAGTAAAACTAATAGAGAAGTAGCCTGTTCTTATTTCGCATGTTGCAGCAGTTGATTCTTACTGGTTTACCCTGGTGTAGCAAAGCAATGAGAGTACCAAACACAGGTTTTCCTGGGGAAATAAACTGCAGATTTTACCAGAGTTGAATTTGAAAAAAAAAAAAAAAAAATCATGTCGTAAGACTCATAAAAATAATCTTCCTTTAAGAGAAACATACCAGTGATAAAGCTCTTTGTCCCGTCTATTGGATCTAAAACCCATACATAATCTGCAAACTTCTCTTTGCATCTCCACCCATTTTCTTCTCCAAAACTGCAATGAAAACTCCATCATCTCTTCTCCAATAGCACAAAATCTAAATATTCGTGGTTGTACATATAAATTTAACATTGAGATAAAACAAATCTTCTTTTATATTCCATTGGGTTTAAGGGAAACAGTCAGAGTCATACGAGAGTGGTAAAGAATAAAAAAGCTAAATGAGATGCCAAAACTCGTCAATCAAATTAAACAATCATAACTTAGGCGAAACTTGTATCGTTCAATTCTAAAATGAAAACACCAAGCCAAAAAATTGAAAAACCAAAACAATTAGAGATAATATTTCATTTTAGCTTTTTATAGGTAAAATAATGTATCATTTAGAATGTAAATCTAAACACTCCAGAATTTTATGGTCTGGTTCAACTTAAGCACTCCAGTTTCCTCACGACCAATTGAAATGCAAGGAAAATGATCTAGTTACGTACATAGCATGAGAAGGAAGATTCTCTAATATAATTGAAACCATTGCTTCCTCTGCTGTTTGATCTGCAATTGTCACAGGGCCTGCAGGAAAACAGTCAAGCCGGAAATCAATGGCTAATAAAGTTTCCCATACTCCACACTGCACACCAATCAGTTACTCACTACGAACGGTCTTCCACGGACTAGCTCACTCAGCTTCATCACTTCAACGTTTTCCCAATTATTTTAGAAACCAAAACAGCCCAAAACTCAATGTTCAAATTGAAATTTGCTTTTCCTACATTTTCTCAGCAACCAAACACAAAATCACAACAAATGAATCCAGCATTCCTAATATTCTCCCAATTCCCCGTATATCGTCAAATTTTCAAATTTAATCTATTCTCACCACTTAGTACTACAGTCTTCACTGAGAGGTTTTAGTTTCAAATCTAGCGGATGAAGAGTTGGACACGTAAGTGTAAATAGATCATTGTATTGAAAACAAAGCAGGTATGGTATACAAACTTATAGAAACTTACTGGAATCTTCTTTATCGAGAATGTCAAATTTCTGCCGGAAATATTTCCGAATAACTTCACCGGAGGCCTCGGCAACCTTGTTGGCGACCTGGGCGAAGCGATCAAGCTCGAAATCGTTGGGCGGCAGACAAACGACGGCGTCAGGGAGGTCGGAGAGGGAGGCCATTGCAAGACGGAGTGGACGACGGGAGAGAGGGAGGCGGAGGAGCGAGAGTGCGGGCTTGGGAGTGGAGAAACGGAGGGCGGGAGTGTTGAGATTGGGAATGGGAATGGGAATTGGAGGGGTTTGGGAGAAGGAGAGGGGTTTGGGAATGTGGGAGAGCATTTGGGGAGACTGATAAGGCGGGAAAGGGAAAGAAGAGATCGCGGTGGAGTGGTGGTGCCTGAAGAAACGAGGGACTCGTGACAGAACTCGGAGAAGTCCAATTCAGTTGGGGGCTTTTAGATTTGGTGGGTTGGGGAGTGAATGTTGACATGTTTTGGGCACCGTTGGATTGTGAAAGGACGGCTGGATTGTACCAGTTTCAAATATGGACCCACCACCACAAATCCGGATTCTCGTCGGATCCTCTTTGTGAGATCTTGAGGATCCGTCAATCTTGTCTGTTCATCATATATCATGCAGTCATAAATTATTTTAAATATTTGTATTTAAAATTAAATATAAATCTTACTTGATAAAAACTGACCGCACGATGTACAATGAACAGATACGATTCAAGAATCCCCAAGATCCTCACCAAAAGGATCTGGAGAGGATCTTGTTGGCTCCACAAGGAGCTTTTGTCTCGGAAGAGGATCCTCTTCGGATCCACTTTGTGGGGATTCTAGAGATTCCCACATCCTAACCGTTCATCGTACATCGTGCAGTCAGTTTTCGTCGGTATTATTTGTGTTTAATTTTAAATAAAAAAATTCAAATAATTTATGGCCACACGATGTATAATGAATGGCTAATATGCGAGGATCTCTATGATCCCCACAAAGTGGATCCGCATGGAATCCAAATCCCTTTTGTCTATAAAATACTAAAACGTACATCAACCATTGGTCGAACCATAATGTCATACTTCATTTTAAAACTTTGCAATGTCAAGAAGTCAATATGTTATCTTACGAATTTGTTGCAATGTCAGACCTCCATCAGTTCGTCTGTCAATGTCTCTGTTAAATGTTGACGTGGCTTGTACTGGGCATCATTCCCTCCCCAGATAGAGTTCCAAGTTATTTTTTGAAACACGTGGATCATCTCAAAGGATGACACATGTATATTACCAGTAAATTTTAAATTATATATTAAAATAAAATAAAATAAATTTTTTCTTTTCAAAAACAATGCATTTCGATTTGAAATCGAAAGCCCCAATCGTGCAATTCATTGCGATTCATTCCAGTTCTCAAATCAAAGAAGAACCCTAACCCTAAGTTCCCAAATCACATCACCCGCTCCAAATCGTGATCAATTAGATTAGGAATTCAGCAAAAATCCTAAGTTCATCTCATTCACTAGTTTTCCTCTGTTCGTTTATGTTGGAAGAGCCAATTTCATCCCAAGTTCCACTGGTTTCGAATGATAGAAGAATATTTTGAAGGCTTCGAAATGGGGTGGAATGTATGTGAGGATCCAGAGGAAACGATGTCAACCTCCTGTAAGAACATTTTTAGTTCGTTTTGTGCTTTGTTGCTTCCCGTGATTCCGTTGTTCCGGTTTTGTTGATTCCAAAATCTTTGTTTATTCCAAATGCTTATTTATATGTTGGATAATATGGTCCTTTTAGTAGTTTGTTTATTCTTGTTCATAAAATTTTGGTGCTTTGTTTACTATGCTTTGGTGCTTTGTTCTAATTTTGGTGCTTTGTTTATTCTAATGTTGGATAATGTGGTCTTTTTGACTCTTTGTTTGTTGAAAATTGAAATTGTTTATGCAGGGTGGCTTGGGTCCTAGGGTTTGTTGAATATATTATATTGCACTAACTAGGGTTTTAACTAGGTTGTTTTCTGTGAATTTCAGTTTTTCAAGAGCAACTCTACTATAGGGGGAAAATGTTGTTTATTAGATGCTTGTGACAAAGTCTTAAAAATGTCACTGTTAGCGGTAGATGATATGGTGGAACCTTTAGGATATAGTGAGATGTTCCCGAACTATTACTATTTGATTTCTAACATGGACATTTTCTAATGGCATGAAGCCCATTCAAAGTGATACTGATGCACAGACAATGTGCAACTTTATTCCAAATGTTTGAGTGATAGACATGTACATAGAAGAATTGTCCCATAAGAAGCTCTCACCCAAGAAAAACAGTTCCTTTAGTCTATGGTGTGCACTCGTACAAGTACAATGGTGATAGAGGAATTAAGTGATGAAAAGAATTATGTTAGGTGCCAGTGGTAAATGATATGGTGAAAGCTTTAGGATATAGTGAGATGTTTCATAGACCACTACTATTTGATTCCCAACATGGACATTTCTAATGGTATGAAGCCCATTCAAAGTGATGTCGATGTACAGACAATGCAACTTTGTTCCAAATGTTTGAGTGATAGGCATGTACATAGAAGAATTGTCCCCACAAGAAGCTCTCACCCAGGAAAAACAGTTTCTTCAGTTTATGGTGTGCACTGGTACAAGTACAGTGGTGATAGAGGAATTAAGTGATGAAGAGGAATATGTTAGGTGCCAATGGTAGATGATATGGTGGAAGCTTTAGGAATAGTGAGATGTTATGAACTACTACTATTTGATTCCCAACATGGACATTAATAATCATACAAAGCCCATTCAAAGTAGTGCCAATGTACAAACAATGTGCAACTTTGTTCCTAATGTTTGAGTGATAGTCATGTACATAGAACAATTGTCCCCACAAAATGCTCTCACCCAAGAAAAACAGTTTCTTCAGTTTATGGTGTGCACTGGTACAAGTATAGTGATGATAGAGGAATTAAGTGATGAAGAGGATTATGTTAGGGCAATTACTTCTAAACCAAGAAAAAGAAAGGGCTCGCTAGCCAACGAAGGACCAAAGGAAGATGTTCAGAAAGGAAGTGTATAAGCTGTTGAGATATGAAGCAATCCAAATGCTGAGGTAGGAAGTGTTCAAGAAGGTGCTCACGAAGATGTGCAAGAAGATGGTTTGAATTCTGAACCAATGGAAACATGTGTGACTGAAGAGGAAATGTACAAGTTGCCAAAGATGTTTGGGAAGTTGAAGGAACTTCCCATGTTGAAAAAGAAAATCAAGAAGGTGTTGAAGAAGCTGTTGAAGAAGATGTTGAAGATGACAATGAATTTGCCGAGAGTTAATATGGGAATGATGAAGATAACCCAAGGTTTGTTAAGTTTGATGGGACTAAGCTGTGAGAGGTGCTTTTCTATGGTCCTCACTTTGAGGACATGTGAGGTCCTTTATTATATGACCCTTTCAATTAATCTTAAGATAGATTAAGCTATCAACTTAAATAATTCTTGTTACATGGAAACAAAAATACTAATTAATAAAAATTAAAAATTAAAAAAGAATGTTTCACGTCATGTCGAATCTCCTTCATCTGCAAAACCTAATCTTCTCATTGAATATATAAACCTAGCAAAGCCAATTGCATAAAACCCTAAATAACTTTACACATCCAATTTCATCTAATCTTTTATCAATAATATTCAAACCAGTTAGTTACAAAGCAACCAAGAAATTGAGATTGTGTAGCTTCGACAATCGGGATCCCCTTCTTCTTGAACACGTGAACCATTTTCTCATACAAAATTTTCAACGTCTTTGAAAATTTTAAAATAGGGCTCTCTCTTTTTTCATACGCAAAAAGGAAAAAAAAACAAATAGCTTAGGATGAGAAAAGGGGAGTGAACAATCAAGAGAGAGAGATGAAAAGAGAAAGGGGATGTGGAGGAGTGAGACGATATAGGAAGAAGATAGAAGGTTTCATGAGATATTTTTTATTTAAATTTAATCACTTTGTAGAATTATTGTGTTTCGCTGTAACAAAGATTATTTAAGTTGATAGCTTAATATATCATAAGAGTAGGAGTGCAGTTTTGCTGAAGTTGTCACTTATCCAGTTATCCTTCTTCTTCATTCTCTCATACTCCATATCTACAGAGGTCAAGGTAGAAAAAGATCTGTGAATTCGTATCGTATCAGAGAGAAATCTAAAACAAACTTGAGAATTTTGTGACAGAGGCAAAGGGAGTGGTGAGAAAACCAATAGCCAACCGAAAATGATGGCAAAGACGATCGGTGAGATAACCCAACAGCCAACCAACGATGATTGTAAAGGCAAGCGATGATAGTGTTTTTCGCATGATGTGGCAAGAGTGATGAAAAACAAACAAATGGTTATGCTCAGTATCAGTATGTCACAATATAAGATTCAGAAATACGGGTGCTAAAGTTTTTTTTTTTTTAAAATTAGAATACCCCAAATATTCGTTTTATACAATTTTTTTTTTTAAAAATATTCCTGCCGTATTACAGCCATTCCCCAGTCGCTCCAAGCCATCGCCTTCTGTACCCCCGCATTTTTTCCGAGTCCGCGCTGCGTTTTCAACTACTCCAGTTCCCGTTACCATTCCAAGAACGCAAAATGGCACACCTGTGAAGAATTGGGCTTTAGAAGAGATGATGTTGTGGACTGATTATGTGGAAGAGAGTGAGGAGCAAGTGGTGGGAGATGAGGTGGATACATATTTTTCGGACCTTTGGAGAAGTTTGAGGAAACCTAGGGAAATTTTAGAATTCTCTCGTCGTGAAGACTACTGGTAGCAAGTATCCTATATTGGCGAGAGTTGTAAAAGACATACTTGCTATTCAAGTCTCTACTGTGGCATCAGAGAGTGCTTTTAGCATTAAGGGAAGAGTAATTTTGGATTTTATGAGTCCTTTAACTCCTAAATCCGTGAAGGCATTAATTTGCATGCAAAATTGGTTGAGGGGTGAGGATATCATTACTATAGAGGATGATGCATCTCAATGGACCATCTAGAGTTCTACAAAAGTATTGAATCGGATAAGTTTCTTGTTAATCTTCTCATTTGTTGTATTTTTTTTTTTTTTACTTTGTCATTTGATGCGGTTTTGGATGTTTTTGTGAAGTTTAGAATGACTAATATAATTAAATGGTTTATTTGGTATCTGTTCTTTCTATGAATCCACAACCTCCACAACCACAACAAGAAGCATCCCCTTCACAAGCTCCTCCAACTCTAGGGCCTCAAGCGGCAAGCACCTCCAAGGCCTCAAGCATCAAAATCAAAAGCTCATTCAAGGCCTCCTATATCACCTATATATACCTTCACAGAGCAAGGGTGTAATTGTTAAGGGTAAGAGTAAGCCGAAGCGTTGAACCATATAGTTGGAGTTGGAGGCTTGATGGTCTTTCATTATGCATTGCAATTTGCGTGAACAATTTATTTTTTCGGTTTGAACTTTGAAGCCATTTTGATTTGAATGAACTTAAGTTTGATGTTTGCTTTTTATCCAAAAGCTGCTCACTTTAAAGTTAAGCAATAAAAAATGTGTGGTAAAACTAAAATATCTTGTTTATTTTAAAAGAAAAGACCTATTGACAACAACTTAAAAAAAAAAAAAAGCCTAATCTTTATTGGATATTTCAATTTATGTAATACCCTCATTAGTTTTTGCACGGGACTTGATTTATACTCAACACACATTTTATCCTGGTAGAACAAAGTGGACTGCCACCATTTACAACTACAAACAGTAACCTTACACCACCATGGCCATTACCACCCACCATTATTGTCACCACCACCAACACCAGCACCACAACTGTCGTCGCCGCCACCACCACCACCACCACCATCACAATCACCGTCACAACCACAAGTTCTAGCCGAACGTACCCAATGCCTAATTAGAATGTAATTAGGTTGTTCTGAATTATACAATGCTTGATTTAGAATGTAGATTGTTCTGCAAGTGGCTTGTAATTCGGTGCCATGCACTTAGGTTTCATTTGATAGCTCGGACTGTACTGATTATTTCAGTTGGATAGGATAAATAGTCGTCGAATAGTACTAACTAAATTAGTCGGACATTTGGCAACGGAATCGGATTAATTCCTACATCGGATAATACGTCAGATTATAATATTTTTTAAAGTATATCACAGAATAATTGTCGTTAAAATGAAAAAAAAAATAAGAAAAACAAAGAAAAACAGAGAAAAAAATGAATTAAACATCATTACAGAAAAAATTTAAAAATAAAAAATAAAAAAGGGATTAAACATCACCATCTTCCCACGGAGAAATATGTTCTTTGAAACCCAGGCAACCATTACACCAACAACAAAAAAAACCCAGCCATTACACCAACAGAAAAAAAACCCAGCCAGCTTTCGAACTCGTTGCCAACTTCAATTTCTTTCAAATTCAGAAACCAATTAAAACCTCCAAATTTGCAGAAGCAACCTCCAAATTACAGAATCGATGGTCACTCGCGCACCCAACAAACTGCAATTTCGTGCCTTACAGGGAAATCAGTGCTGCTCTCTCTCTTTCTCAACTTCTAATCCATTGAAACTAAAAACCCAGATGAGATTTCTCCCATTTTCTGGTTTGATCTGCCACTATAGGTGTATGAACAAGAATGGCGTGACGTGGTTTCGATTCAGCACCTCTGGTTTTGTGTTTGTATCTACTTGATGTTGATTGGCAGTGAGGAGGGAGAAAGAGAGAGAGTAGTAATTCCTTGATTGAGGAGTTTGCGATGCGCAGGAGCAAGAGTTAGCGTGAACCCGACTAATTATACAAACTATTTTGGGAAGATAAGTAGCTGGTGTATGGTGTATTAAATTAGTAGAGGCAGACTAATTATCCGGTGACTATTTAATTTAAACAGACATCAAATACCGCACTCTTCTGTATTATTAGTACCATTAGGTGCCTTATACAATGTGCCAAACAGGACCTTAATGTCCCCTGTAACCTCTTCCCTTTATTAGATGTAGGTCTTCCTAATAAATATAATTATGTGTATATTATCTTATCATTTATCAGAAAGAAAAAAAATTAGACAACATAGTAAATCGATCAATTTAACTCTATCACCCTTTTGTTAAACAATCTACGTGTCGTCTTGTAAAACAAAATAAATAATCGTTGTTCTCGACCATATTAGATCATATAGATTATTATTTTCAAACTCATCAACCACCCCTATTGTACTAAGTATATGTATCATATAATGTCATTCGACTCAATCGATTTTGTGCCTATCCGTTTTCAAGTAAACCATATCTCTTTTTCGTCGCTACTAAGTCGTCATCTACACCTTTCATCTCCATTTGTCTTTTTATTAAAATCTCTACTAAGTCGTCTTCTACACCTTTCATCTCCTTTTGTCTTGAGACTTTGTCTCATAATTATATCTTCATAATTGCATAATTGCATCTATTCATAATTGCATATTCTAACCAAAACATCTAAATTGCATATTCTAACTGAAAGATCTATAAATCCTCTAGAATTGAATATTTTAACTGAAAGATCTATAAATCTTTGTAAATCTTCAATTCACTGCTTTTTTCTCATAATCTTTAATTCCCTCCCTTACCATGGATATCTTGGTTCTTAACCCCATCCCTTCTTGTGTGTTTCATAATTGCGTCTTCATAATTGCAAATTCTTACCAAAACATCTTTAAATTGCAAATTCTTACCGAAACATCTTTAAATCTTCAGTTCACCGATTTTTTCTCATCATCTTTAATTGCGGCTGCCCCTCCCTCACCTTGGATATCTTGGTTCTTAATCCCAATCCATCTTGTATGTCCACACCCCATCTTGTATGTCTACACACATCCAACGAAACACTCTCTTCATCACTACTAATTTTTGCAACGTGTTGATTTTAACACTCAGATAAACTACTGAAATTGGAAATAAGCACTCTGCAGCTAGAACAGTTGCAACAGTTATTTATTATACACACAGATGCAACAGTTCTTTATTATACACACAGTACATTCTTATTCCAGAATATTACCATCCATGCATATACTAATTAACGCTTTGAAGAACTAATTTAATTAGTGGTGGCTACGATGACCAGGCAACTTGTCCTTGATCTTCTCCATCATACTTCTCTTCTCAGGTTCGGTTGTGACTGTTGTGACGGTGGTGGTTCCGACAGCTATGGTTGCATGTCCATGGCTATGGCCATCTGTCTGTGCTTGCTGCTGATCGTCCTTGTGCTTCTTCCCACCGAATTTGTCCTCTATTTTCCCTTTCAGCCCCTTTTTCTTCCTTCTCCCACCTTGCCCGTCATCCTCCTCAGACTACAGCCAACAGATTAAGACAATTACAAGATATCAACCAAATAAATCAAAGATAAAAAAAAAAAAATAAAAAAAACCTTATTACTTAGTATTAAGGTCTGATAGTATTTCTCTTTTTGTTGTAAGTGAAAAGTTTTAAAAGTTGGATTTTCGTCAAAACCGAATGTAAACTACATTATTGTTAGTCCATTTTGTTGTAAGTGAAAAGTCTTAAAAGTTAGATTTTCGACAAAGCCCAAATGTAAACTACATTATTGCTAGTCCATTACGAGGACTAGCCCACTCACCACTCCCTTAAAGTAAATAATACTGTTTGTTTGAAAAAAAAAAAAACCAAAAATAAAGCCGTTAATAATCATTTCGTTTTTAGTTTTCTCAAAACACTCAAACGAAACAAGGGTGTGGAAAACAACAAACCGAAAGCGTAGAGAACTTGTGAATAGAGAGAAAAAAAATAAGATATGTCTTACGCTCGAGCTTGAGCTGCCAGAACGACGCAGTTCACTACCAAGACTGCCATGGGGCTGCTGTTGTCTGTGCTCACCGACACCATACCCATGAGATTGATCACTTGTTTGTTTGCCACCAAACATGCCATGCCCTGCTGCAGCTCCAGCACCACCCAGCGCGCCACCATGCTCTCCATACCCTCCACCTCCAGTGGTTCCGGAGGCAGGAACATGCATACCTTCACTGGTGTCTGTTTCGGTTCCGGTTCCCGTTCCTCCCGTGGTGGCGGCCACGCCTGTGAGGTGAATAGGGTTTCCAAGCTCGTCTGTCAATTTGACAGGGTTTCCAAGCTCATCTGTGAGCTGCACCGGGTTTCCGTACTCGTCCCTAATTTGAGCCATTTGAATGATTGTTTCAATCTATTGATGTTCGAACACGAACAAATTTGAGGAGGGTTGGTCTTTCTTTAAAGGGCAAATGAATGACGGTGGAGAAAGAGTGCGTAGGATTTTGCATGTCACAGTGCGTTGACATGTGTTACGACATATGCAGACAACGTACACAAATAGCACCGCCACATTTGATGAAGGTTCCACGTGTTAAGTGGGAGAGGTGACACATGCTTATAGATGATTGTCGGTTCTGGATTGGGATTGACATGAATCAGATCTCTTGTGGGACAGAAAAACGATCAGTTATATATCCGCTTGTATTCATGATTTTCAATCTTTTTAATTTGGGGTATCTAAATAACTAGAATGCAAGTGGGCATGCATTTGTTTAGAGTGATCTTATGCCCCTCCACTATTTCTATTTCCCCATCTATTTGTATAAATTGGTTGTGAGTCGAGACTGATTAGTGATGACGTGGTTGGGTTTGATTTGATTTGACTTGACTTCAAAAATGTAATTGGAACAAAATTAGTATTCAACCATTTAGTTTAGTGGGCTTTTATCAAATTAATCAAAATTGATCCAAGCCAAATCGTTGTTAGTTGCTTTTGTTCGGTTAGTTTAAACCTATTTTAGCTCACCGATAAAAAAGTCTAATATATTTGAAGAGTTATAAGCTTTTAAAGATTCACACACACACCCCGATAAAAAGTGTTGGGAGACTTTTAGGTTGAGGTGGACTTGAGCTTTAAAGAACGTCCTCTTATCTCTATTAGTATGGATTCTTACCAAGTTTCAGGATATCTCGAAAGAGATAGCTTGTCTTAGGAAATACCCTGGTAACATCAACGGCTCGAAGATGGTATGATTGATCAAGATAATGACTTGCTCAAGTGAAGCATTGTGTGGAAGCTAGAAGATTATCAGTTTACATGAGAGCGAAGGGATTCGTATAGTTGCATGGCATTCTTGGTAGGATAATTTGGGCTTTCCTAGGGTGATAGCAAGGCTTCTAATGGTTGACACGTTTGATGGAAGGCTGTGGGGATTACTAAGGTTGCATGAATGGTGATGCTTGAGGCTTGAAGTACGCTTCTAGACTAAATGGAACTATCTAGGCTTATTTCTTGGGTGGTTCTCTCCCTTGCATTCTCTCCTATCTCTCCCTATATTCTACTTATGTGTTCTAACTCCCATCCTGTGTTATGTGTTACCTATCCTCTTTATGTAAGTGAAGGGTTATTCTCATTGATGCTTGCATGAAATACAAAGGGTATGGGCTTGGATCTTTGGGCCTCTAAGCAACTCAAAGTCTTCCATGACCCCAATTCTACGTAGGCTTGATAACATTCTGTAACCATCCACACCACAATCTATTTGACAAGGCCTGAATATGTGACTTGGGCTTAGCATGACAGTGATTAGCATGAGGAAGCACAGTGTGATGAATAGGTATGAGCATGGTGTTAGTATCTAGCTTAATCACCGTGGCATGGCATGTTTATAAATATATTCCTCGTCGATCTTGTGCCTTGGCATGTATTTGCACTTTAATATAGGCTTTGCATGACAATTGGGCGTTGAGACTTAGTTGGATTGGTGTGTGACATTTCTGGGCCCCAACAAACAGAAAAAAAAAAATCCAATATATTATAGGGAAATACCCAGAAATAGGACAATTCCTTAATTTTTGGACAAAAATAGGACATTTTGAATATGCACAGCATGCACAACAATCGGACAATCGAATTTTTCCTACACCTTAAAATGACTTAATTGCCCTCATATATAAATGAGTTATTTCCTGCCATTTTCTTATTGTCTCTCTCTCTGCTCATTCTCTCCCTCATTCTCTCTTCTCTCACTTTCTCCCTCACACTCTCTTTCCCTTTCTCACTGTGCACACGGTGCACAGTTGTCCCAACCAACACCGTCCAAATTGAAGCCACCACAATTTCATCTTGTCCTCATGAGTCCAAAACACCTAGCCTTATCACAAATCTCATCTTCAATCGTTGGGATCGAAACTTAAGCAGGTCACAAGTTTTTCAGCCATTTTATGGCAGCATGACAAACAATCGAGGCTCGAGACCACCACCACTGGACTCGCATTGAGGGTGGGCACAAAGCCCAATCATTAAATGATGTTGTTTTGTTGGATTAATTTTTCAGGATTTGCTCATTGTAGTACACGACATGCACATGATATGCTTATAGATCTGAGCCAACTCAAAAACTCAGAGCTCACAATTCTCTCTTTGACATAAAAAAAATGACGTTATCACATGTCCATATACACTATATGCGCACCACATGCACATCATATGTACAGTACATGCACATCATATGCACAAAACTATGAGCAATGAATTGCTTTCACCTTAATAAGAAACTCTAACGGCAACCTATTGGTATAGTTGATACAATTAAAAAATAATTGTTATGTATGTAAGGTTATAATGGTAGTTTGAAAAGTCTTGTTATGCATATCAATCACCACTTAACCGTGCATGCGGAAAACATGATACTTGTTGTCATTATTTCATGGACACGCATGATCCTTAATGTCCTCTAAGCCTTTTTCTTAATTTTGTTTTTTCGCTGAAGCCAATTAGGTTATGGTCATACTTGCTAAATTCAGGGGCACAACATATGTGCATCATAATTAGTGAACATTCCTGTTTCTCATATTGAGATGTAGCCATGCACACCACATGCACATTGGCGAAAAATTTTCACAAATTTCTGCAATTGAACACTTGAACCAGAAATTGTTCCATCCTAGTTTTGTAGCACGTCAAAACCTAAAATTTATTCCCCAACCCATAGGCCCCAACATGAAACACAAACCCTAATTTAACTTATGAGTATTTTATTCATTTTACAAACAACCCGTTTATTCCATAAATCATTGATGAAGGAACTTGGAACTAAACACCCTAACTTACCTTGCCTGCCGAAGCTTCAATCGCTGAAAAAAATGAAACTTTCTGGTCAAAACAGAAAGTATGGTACAAAACCCAGCTCACTCTTCTCACCTCTCTCTTGCATCCCTTTGTTCGAAATCAGAGGTATGAGGTCAACCCAAAACCCAGATCTGAGCTCAACCCAGAAACCCAAAGCTCACAGAGCTCTCTCAACATCTCTCTCTTCTAAAGGAGAAAAGTGATACAATAGGCTTTTGATTTTTAGTATTTATGTGGGTATTTTAGTAATTTTAGTTTTGTGCATGACTTAACATGACCGGTTTGTTTTATTTCTATCCTAAAATTAAGAAATTGTCCCATTTTAGGGTATTTCCCTATATATTAAGAGTTTGGATCTTTTAAAGATTCATATATGTTACACATTTCAAATTGAACAAAAAATTAAGTTTTTTGAAGCACAAAATTTACCAAGGCCGGTATTCCACACATCATGTACTCCTGGGTTCGATTCCTAGAGCTAGTGAATCACACGATGGTGGCCAAAGAGAGGCTGAAATGCCTCTTGTCATTCTTCTTGACCCCTGGAAAGGTGGATTGCCGTAGCAAAACCACCAACTTATCTCTTTTTTAAATTTTAAAAATAATAATAATCGCAAAAAAATGAACAAAGTCTCATGCCAATAAACGATTTAGTATATAATTGATACAAAAATCATTGCACAACATATCATACAGTTTTGTTGCCTCTCAAGCAAATCCAAGATCCAATTCCCATGCATAAGTTCATTTCGATAAATTCAAGTATGAATTCACAGAGAAGAAAACCTGTACAACAGTAAGAATCAGATCACATTTCCTTTCAGCATTTCAATTCTGCTCTCTGTTTCTTTCTATAAACAACTGTTATATAAATTCGTTCTCTTCTTTACAGTTTAACTTCATAAAGCTAACCCTGCCGAATGTCAAGATGCAGTCCTGCGATGTTTACAATGTCTCGATGAATGCGCTCTTCACAATCCTTCTGTCCAACTGAGATTGCGAAAGAAGAACCAACACCGAAATCTGTATAAAATAACAATACCGAGTCCATAAGAACCCTTGAGAAAATAAAAACGACAGACATCGCCCCCGTATTTGGAGGCTTTCAAATTTATGGTCCTGGTGCAAGAAAGGTGTAGGACTTATGTAGGTATGCTAAATGCAGATTAGATTGTTTCGCTGATTTAACAATGCATGCAATATTACACGAGAAACAGATGCCCTCACCTCCCCAACATCTTAGTGTGAGCTCACATCTTGCTGGATTTTGCCCAGAAGAACCCTTTCTTTCTAGTAGAATGATTATCTGATAGCGAAGCACTCTTGGAGCCAAATGAGAAGTGCCGTCTCAAAAATGGCTTTCCCAAGGTGCTTCTCATGCTGGAACTGGATCCAAACTTGGGAACCTTTCCTTGATTTTCAGTGCTTTTCAAGCGATCAAACACAGCGGAATCGCCATCAAGATCTAACACCCGGTTCCTCGATTTCTTGTTTCTAGACTTCAAATCCATTTCAGCTTTCAATGCTTTTTCAGACAACTTGTGGATCTGTTTCTCCCCAAAAGTACACACTGGACAAGCTGGGTCATACTTGTTAATTTCAGGTGTCAGATTCTCCAGACACTCAGCATGGTAAACATGTCCGCAAACAAGCACTGAAACCACAGAAAGCTCATTGGTTGAAATAATCTTTTGGCTGCTCCATGAACATTTCTCAGCCAAAAGCTTTGAGCAAACTCCACACGTCTGCAAATCAACAGAGGGTGAAGCTGAAACTCTGCTACTGGATCTAGTTAACTTCTCACGATTAAAGCCAAAGGACTCACTATCAAAAGACCTCCTTTCTCTATTAGATGTGGCCATGAGCTCGGAAAATGCATTCATAGACCAACTATCAGAAGACCCACCATGGGAGCCCCTAGCAGATTCATTGCCCCATGAGGGAAGCTTTGCCTTTTCCTCAGAAATTGAGAAGCTGTTTGGTGACTTGATTCCTGGGACTCGGCCATCAGATACTTGCCTTAATAGCTGATGTCCTGGAGAACAGCGGCGCCACCTCACTGGTGTTGAGCCAGCAGGAGGCAGGTGACTCTGGGATGACAAAGGGGATGCGGGCAAGGATGAAGTAGAAGGCTGCGAAACTGATAATTTTGTCGGGGATGGATATGAAACAGTAGGGGACTCTGCTGGTTCTTTTGTCTACACATATAATGAAAAACGAGGGTGTAAAATGTCATATTCATGAGCATATACGAATTAACAGTGCTTAAATCATAACAGAAAGTGCCACCCTGGCATAAGATCTACCTGTTCAAGAGTTGCATCCATGGAAATATTTCTTGAAATGGATCGATCTGCCATAGAAACATACATATATATCAGATAGAACACATCTAAACAACTAACATAGAAAAGCACAATTAAACTGAAGGGAAATCTTAAGGAGATCATCTATTTAAAAAGATAAGCTACTATACTATTCTATTTTCCTATTAAGCCATTCAGAAAAATGAAAAACATTTAACTCAATGTTAGCATGATCTCTTCATTTTACCATCACAATTGAAAAATTAGGATAAATGTCCCCTTTTAAGCTCTAAAGCTAAATTGCAAGAAACTAAAATAGCCCAGCCCAAAGAGCTTCACAAGATAGGCTCTATGATTCTGTAGGGTCAGTTTTCCCACAAATAACATGAAGATTTTAAAAGCTGTAACATTTAAGTAATATATTAAATTAAAAGTATGCAATGAACCACAGGATTTGACATCAACACCAGATGCATTATAGACAAGGCTATCACATAAAGATTCTCACTTCACCTACACCAGTTTTAGGCCAGTTACAGTAATCAAAACACCCAACCAAGGAAAAGGAGATCTTCATGACATGGAAACCAAGAAAAAAGACGGAGTAGACACTTTTGATGAGAAATGTCAAAGAGATGTCAATATTGTATTAAGCATGGGAAATACTAAAGGCATAGAAACTGATTACGAAAGATGATTTTATCAATTAACCTACACCTCGGGCCCACGGAAAACATAACAGCGCAACAGAAGCACCTGTAGGCGAAACTCATCCTTCACCCTTTAACTTCAGGGCAAGGAGGTGCCACTAGACCCAAAGGCCATTTACCGGAAAACTGAAAACACCTAAAGAATGTAAAGTGCAATCGTGAATCTTATCATTGTAAGAAAATCATGTAATCAGAACAGCCCCTCTTGGTTGCATGAGAGCACCCAGAACAATTTTCCAGCGTACCATGTAAAGAGACATGGGAAAAAAATGGGACAAGTGATGTATCCCCAATGTGCAGAGCTTTAACTCAGGAATCAACCATGTCCCTCATCTAACCAATCTAATTGATATATGCGGTATAAACCTTCCATGTTTTGATCATGTAGTTCGCATCCACCTTATCCCTAAGACTTCTATTCACCTATATTCTTCGTACCTCTGTCACAGGTTATTCAGCCATCATCTTCTACGACATAGCTTTAATAAATAATAGAACCTGGATTATCTCAAGATGAGGGGAAAAAACCAATGCATTTCTCAATCCATATTTACATACAAAGGTATGTAAAACTAATAATCCAAATCATCAGTGACTTTCTTTCAAATTACCATTCACCTTCCCATCAGTACATATTTGCAACGCATAGCCTTCCAAGTCAAGCTCACTTCAGAGCATGGCCTTTGATGGAATATGAGCTCATACAGGCAAGGTAACTACATCGCATTGTCTTTTGAATTACATGCAACTAAAAACATTATAAAGTTGTATATTGTTCTTCTCAAAAAAATAAAGTTGAATATTGTCTTTTCTTATTCATCCATCTTGATACTTTTATTGGATGCAAAAGTCTTGTCTGCATATTTGTCAAAGTCTCGTATATGCAAGTGACACTAAAGCAAATACGGTACATGCAAAACACATGGCCAACTTGCAAGAACAAATATAAGAGTGCAAAATGCAAAATTACAATCTAGCAAGAAATAATCTTGTAAACAAGAAAGAAGGGAGCATGCTCTTCAATCCAACCCTTCAACTGTATACCAAAACCTTCAGAAGAGAGACAAAAATTCTTCAAACTTAACACTGCAAAACTATTGGAATATGAATAAAATGAAAGAGTTTTCATACTAAAAAATACCTGAAGTAGGAGTCCTGACATGGCAGGCAGTTCCCTCAGAAATTGAGGATTTTCGCTCTGTATGTCTTCGAAAATGTTCCAATGGACTTCCCTCCTCAGATACACATGCTGATTCAAATTTAACTTCCGATCCATCATTTCTGCTAACACCATCAGAAAACCAACTTACAGAGGTCTCTTCAGCTGCTACCCCCACTCGGTTATCCCACCGAAAGCTCCATGTTGGTGAGTACCTAATATTACGATGTACAATTTCGCTACTAGCTCTGTTTGTTATAGTCTTGTCTCTAGCAGCAACACAACAAGCAGAACCCATCCTCAAAATACACAAACCTCTAACTTACAATTGTAACCCCTCAATCACAGCTCGCATCCTCAAACTTCAGAATCGACTGACTGTCACAGCAGCCTTGACCCCATAAACAGTTGCTCTTTTGAAATTACAATCAAAGAAACAAACCATCGTCAGTTGTATCGTAACAAAGCAGCACATAAGGAAGTGAGGGAGTTCAACAAACCCTAATTCTGTTGCACAAAAGCACGAAACATAAACGAACCCAAAACCACAAACCACAAAAAACATCTTAACTGGAAATTAAGACTAAAACCAACCTCCACCCAAACACCACAAAAAATGAAAACTAAAGTTTACCCAAATGGAAACGGTTCACGAATCTCACATCTCTTCCTTTTTCCAGCTGGGATAACACAGTGAAACCAAAATATGGCAAAACCCGTACTCGAATCAAATACATAGACAGTAAAATAAACCTCTGGATTTCAGTATACCCTAAAAAATTAGACAAACACAGATTCATATTTCATATTTTTCCACTCCACAGATTCATATTTCATATTTTTCCACTCCTTTTGTTCTTTCAACACTGGTGGCACCAACCACCACCAAAACAGAGCTCACCGACACACAAACAAGCACAGTGACAGTGTGTGGGGAATATATAGACCTCCAGAAATCAATTCAATCTGCTACCCCTAAGGGCTGTCTAAAATCCCAAAGTTCTGGAAAAATCACAAAAAAATGCCCTAAGAATTAGTAAGTATTGAGGAGCTACATGAGTCAGAGGATCTGACACCATGCCCAGTATATAGAACTCGTAGTCAAAACTCCAAATATTTCGACAAAAAACATCCAACAATTTAATCCCTAAATTATGAAATTGGAAAACAATTAATAACAATAAAAAAATTAATTTTGATTAAAAAGAAGCACGCAAAACGCAAGCTCTGCATTATAAGGTACTCACAGAGAGGCGAAGCTGGAGAGAGGAATGAAGACTTCTAGAGAGAGAGAATTCTAGAGAGAGAGAGAGAGAGAGAGTTCTAGAGAGAGTGAGGCGGCGGCTGCTGCTTGTTCGTTGCAGAAGAATGGGGAGAGAGAGAGAGAGACAAAGGGCGGAAGAGGTTTTGGTAACGCCGTTGGTTGCTGTTGAGTGCAACGGCGTCGTTTAGAGGCCCAACGGCGTTTGGTGACGCCATTGCGTGGGAAAGGAGCGCTATGTTTATTCCCCGATCGGTGTGTGGAAGTTAAAAATTAAAAAATAATACATTGTCTTTTTTTTTTTTTATGGATTTTAGGGAAACTAAGGCGTGCTTTATAGGGTTGTACTACACTGGAACAGTGGTAAACATTGGCACCCCAATAAACAAAAAAATATGGAAAGTTTAGGATTTGATGTTCCGAATTAGTGATTTTATTTGATTGTGGCTACGAGTATGATGAATTCCTCATAGTTTTTTTCGGATCAGAAAATAGTGAGTAACCGTAAATTACCATCAGTTATCTTCTTAATATAAAAAAAAAAAAAAAAAAAAAAAAACAGTGACTGAGCATGCTGAACAGTGTTGTACTTGTGAGTTTATGGAAAGATTTGGGGTGGCGGTTGTCTTATGGAGTATGCAGAGTGCGTAGTACGCATTCCGTGCTTTTTACGTTCCAGCAAAGTATCCTGTGAATTAATTTTAACTTGAAAGCAAAGCGAAGAAAAAAATAAGCATAAACCAAAGAGTTTAATGCGTCTTCTGTTACTTTTTTTATTGGGAAATAATTTTAGCATCACCCTTTTTGAAGGAAGAGATTGAAGAGAAGGAATAGAATCGGAATCAGAAATATCAGACTTAAAAGTGAATGATAAAGTTAAAACATTTTCAAATGAAATGTCAATATGTTTAACTCAAATTGGAAATTTTAATTCTTTTTTTTTTTTAAATTGACAACAACTTTAAAAAAAAATAATTAATTATTAAATTCATTTTATCAATTATTATTTTTGTTTCAAAACATTTTAATTTAATGTAATAAAATAATAATTTAATTTCACATATCGGATGAAAAACAGAACTTTATTTGTAAGCGCGTTTCACAATAAATAGATTATAGACTTATAGTTAACATAATTAATAACATCTTTTGTATAATGGCTTAACTGTTTTTACAGCTTACACTCTCAAGGTTTTGTGTTCTATTTCTTTCTGTTACACCATGTAAGTTGGGTTCGCAACTTAAGTTATATGGTTTACCGCTGCAATTCAAGGATAAAGACTTGAATCATTTTTTTTTCTTTTGGAAATTCGTATTATTTTTTTTCATAAGCGATATTTTGAGAGAAAATTTAACTTTGAAATGACTTGTCTATTGTATAATGTTCTGACTTATCTCAATTTATCCTGCATTAATATGAACATATCGTTGCACTAGAACAATAAAAATCTATAAAATGTAATGATCCCAGTTAGCTAGTCTGCTTGTCTCGTTTCTCTATTATTATTAAAAGAGTTTAAAGTTTTTAACGTGAAATATTCAAAATTGCTGGTAGATGGTTTCTCATTACTAATGTTATCTTTAATTTTATTTGTTGTACATTTTTAACCACTGCAGCCAGCAGCCAGCTACCTTTGCTTGTTTTTTTTGGTCGACATCAATACATATAAATATAAAAAGATATAAGGAAGGAGTCCAACAATTAATTAGGTGTTGAGAGTTGGACGGTGCATGTGATTTGGACACTCACTCAGTTTTATGCGTAAATTCCAGATATCTGCTGAATAATAATTAAAATTTCATGTTTACATCTTTGCAGTTGCCTTTTTAAAGGCAGATTCTATATCTTTCCACTTTTTGTGTCATTCTATTTGTGTGGTCACGGTTAAATCACGTTAATATTTTATATTACTTTTTTTTTATCTTGTTTTACTATTCATTTTTATCTTATTATTTCTATAAAATGTTAACGTGGTTTAATCGTAACTACATAAAACAGGAAGACACATAAGAACACAAAAAGTTGAAGGACAAAGAATCTGCCTCCTTTTAACTCTTGCATTTGCTTTTGCTTTTGCTTCTGCTGTTATATGTCAAAGATTCTCCGTTAACGAAAATGCCCTTGCTGTTTGCGCTTCAATTAACGTGCTAAACTTTTTTTTTTTTCAAATTTTTTTTTTAAACAAATAAAGATGAATATTACTAAATTTTAGTGATATTCTTTTATACGTCTATAAGGAAAGGTTTAAAGTTCTATCCTTTTCAATAACAATTTTGAATAAATTTTAATTATGCGGCTTAGATCAACTTTATTATTAGTTTAATAATATTATATGTATTTTAAGAAAAAGAATTAGAAATGTGTTTTTAGGTTGCGGTGAGGTGGCCACTGTAAGGTACAAAAAGGGTGATTTGTCAAAAGAGGCAGTGTGTGTGGTTAAAAGACTTGAGAGTCATGCAATTAAGAAATTAAAACATCCACGTCAAGGCGGGGAAGGGATGATTAATCACCAAATGGGAAGGCTACAAGGAAAATTCATGAGGGCAACCTTTGCCACTTTGGTTACGAATGTAGGTAACCCACGATTTTGACCCTGGGAATTGTATCATATGCTTTTGCAAGGTGTGTGGGTGGGATCATGGCGTGAGTAATTAATTGGCTTTAATTATTTATTAATTTGAGGTGGATGATGCAAATTTATGATTTTCCAGGTCTTAGAATTATTATTATTATTATTATTTTTAGTGTTTTTCACATACTCATTTTTACTTCACACACTTCTTTCAATTTTTAACTGTCGTATCAAATGAATTGAAAAATATTAATGATAAAACTTTAACAAAGGCGTGTGGAAGTGAAAATGGATGTATGTAAAGGTGCAAATTGTAATGGATGGACCTAAGAAACAAGGTTTGGGAGAACTTGATTGTAAACTTTCTAACTAAGGAGAGAGTATAAAGCTAAGTTTCACAAACCTTGTAAATTAGGCCCACCAAAATTTTACAAACTCAATTCTTAGGAATTGAACAGATAAAAGGTAAACAGACTACTGAAAACAATAACAGCAAAAACAGTAGCTCCAAAATATGAAACAACCGAAAAAACTCTAATCATTGTCAAATAGAAGCAGCCCACCACCACTTGTCTCTTGACAGCAACCACTGGAGTAGCCACCATGTATGGAACCAAAATGAAAGTGGATTCCAAAAGAGATGGCAAGCATATCCAAAGCAAAAACAACATTTTAGAATGTTGCAACCGATCGAGATATCGAGATATGTACTGCCATTAGCCACACATGCAAGAAGAGAACCAGACTGGTACATTAATCGAGAGGTGGGGAGGGGCAATGGGATGTCTAAAACACCCTTAGTAGGAAGCAAGTCGTAGAATGCTTCGCTCAAATTTTTTGGCATGCCGGTAGAGCAGTGAGTGGTGGGGTAGCAATCTAGATTACAAATGCGGTCCAAGGCTTTAAGATCTGATTTTTAGTTAGATTAGAGGAAAGGTGGTGGGGAAGAACATGATTGGAATGGAATTAGATGCATGTCTGTGATGGGAATATGGAGGGACTGATGTTGAGGAAAATGGGAAGACAAGAATACAATATAAAAGGAAATACGAGTAACATACCTTCAAATCAAGACAAAGTTTTGTTCCACGTGGCTTTCTTTGGGAAGATTTTTTATTGGAGGCCAACATCACAAGTGTATAATGAGAATGAGCATCCTCACAGTCACAGGCCCACATCACAGGTGTACATTGAAAATGAGGATCTTTTTTTTTGTAAGGATTTGGGTAATCTTTTAATCACATTCATTTATCGTACATCATAATAATTTTCGTCAAGTACTATTTATATTCAATTACAAATAAAAAAATTTACAATGATTTTTTATCGTGCGAACATACATGATTTGAGGATCTCCGGAATCCTCACAAAGAGGATCCGGAGAGGATCCTCATTCTACAATGACTAGCCATTTATTATTGTTAGAAAAACTAATGAAAAGTCCAAAAGGGCTTTTGTTTTAATAAAAAAAAAATGACAAATAAAGGTATAATGAATAGTACTAGGAAAAGGTAAAAATGTGGTTTTTTATTAAAAGTGAACAGTATCGGGAGTGTTTCACTAAAACTTCCATTATTATTTTGTTTGGATGACATTGTATTTTATAGATAGGTTGACGGTGTTTGGTTTGTATTTTGTTTTGTTTTGTTTGTGATAGTTTTTAAGGCAACGTGAATGCGTTTTTTTTTTCATTTAATAAAATGATATTTTAACATTAGGTATGAGAAATTTGTATTAACACAATGAACTAGCCATAATACATTAACCTCAAATTCAACATTTATAAAAGTTAGAACTAAGACTTCCACTTGTAATGATGAGGGAGAATGGAAAATGATAAACACTCACTTACCTCTCACACACCTATGTTCGATCATGGCCGTAGTTTTCATTTGATTTATCCAATCTGATGACATAAAGTAAGGAGAGATGTGTAAGAAGCTAAAATTGGTGTGAAAATATCTCCCTAAAAAATAAAAGGCAATTAGCTAAAATGGCCCACTTTTGATATTTTTGTGGAGTAAAAAATTAGCAGGAAGAATATGGAGACGACACGTGGATTTTTTTGAGTAAATAAGATAAAATTACCCTTGACGCACAACGGAATTCCCACGCGCAAGCAGCAAACAATCACAACTCAATCAAGGTCAAAAGTGATCAAAATAGGTACTTATTCAAAACCTATTTCATTCACCCTCATCAGATCTTCCCCACAAGGTAACTATCAAATATTCATTCAAATTAGGATTAATTACCTAAATTAATTGGTTAATTTCCTAATTAATTAATTAATATTCTAATTAATTTCTTAATTGATTGCAAGATATTATTTTGACATAATATCTTGCAATTACACCCAAAAACCACCATAAGTGGCCGGATCCCTTTTCTTTAAA